GAGGGGGGTAGAGTAAAAGAGAGAGGGAAAGGGGTAAAGGGGAGGGGGGAGGGGAGGTAGCAGAGAGAGGGGGAGTGGAAAAGTGGAGTACAATTTTACTCAAAGATGGCTTGGGGTTTAAAACCACACTAAAGGGCTCTCAAGGATTCATAACAAAAATTAAAGTAGGCTTAGGGTTAAGTGGACAAAAAACCCCACAATAAATAAACAATTAAGTAAATGAATACATAAATAAAACAAATGAATAAATAAATAAATAGATCAATAAACAAACAAATAAATAAAAGTGGGAGAAACTTGAATCTGGTAAAGTAATCTGAGCTTTTGTCAAACGAAGCACAAAACCAATTCAGATAATCCCTTCCGTTAAGTGGCCATTTCGGGATCCCCTCCCACCTCTAACTCATCCCCATCTACTTTTGTAGGTACAGGAATATTTGTATCAAACAAAATTGTCACAGTCATTTCCCTTACTAATAAAATTACTCACGAAAAATGTATAGAACCAACTATATATGGTCGCTTTTAAGCACAAGGGAGCTATCCCGAAAAATGCTGTTTTGAGAAAATCGAAGATAAAGTATTTGGACCCTTGTTCAGTTTCTTTAAAAGACAAGGAGAATTTTCTCTATAACCAAACAAATATACACACCAATGGATCCAAACTTTTACTATAGGTAAGGCAATGCCCACTTTTGGTGAAGGCCAAGATTTCTGGAAACCCCCGAAATCTGGGTTAGCCCGCTTGTCCTTAAAAGCAACCATATTTGTGTTAGTGCCAATCAAACTCAGCTGGAAATTTCTCAAATTGAGTAAATATTATTGTAAAACACTCATTTTTGTCACAAACTCACTGTTTCGCTAAATCAACTCATTCAGTACTGTCAACCAGAATTCTAACAAGACCTGACCGATGTAAACCCTTGAATTGGATTTCTATTATTGGAAATTACATATAGCAATGAAGAAAAAAAAATACATAAAGATTGGTGGTTCAAAAGTTTAGGATTAAACAATTTTTCCAGAGCCGACTAAATTAAATGCAACCACAACGGGAGTGGAATTAACATATTTTCTCTCTCAGCATTGAATGAGTTAATTCTAAAATATGAATTAACTGGACAATATCGGACGAAAATATGAAACTTAACTACTGCAAGGTGTGGACACATGAATATGAGAAAACAGGCCATGAAGTTAAACAAGATATCATGTTAAACCACACACACTTTTCAGAAAAACAAAAAGTGGAGTAAAGCAATTTATTTTACATGAAACGAAACCAAAGAACATCAACCTTTGAAGAGACAAGAACCTAAAAAAATTCCACCAGTGGTCAATTTTTTTCTGTTCGGGTCTCGTATTCATAGCTCGGAATAGCCCAGCGAGACTTACGTCCAATTAGGATTGGTACTGTCATTTTTGCTTCCCAAGCAATTTGCCATTTCGATGCTCCACAGCACTCACCATTTTCACGATTCTTTTCCGACTGCTTCCCCGAGGGTGTCTTCATCTCCTCTGCCCACTCAGAAATTCCCGGCACTCCGTCAAAAAACTCAGCCTGGACTAGAGTGACCAACAGCAAAGCAGCTGTCTGGAGAGCGCAAATTTAGTTTTAGTAGACGTTTTACGGCGCTCGAAACTGCATAAGGTCAAATGAGCGCCAGAAGATTAGAGCTGTTACAAGAGAGTAACAAACATAAAAAAGAAGAAGGGGAGATAAGGACGATAGATGTTTGATAGGAAAGAAGAAGCAAACCCCACCAGAGCACCCGCCAATCACCCATGGTAAGTGCAATAATTTGGAGAAATAGAGAGATCAAAAAAAAAAAAAAGTCACAAAAACACACCTTAACAGATCTTCAAAGGGAAATTTGTTACATGACAGCATAACTACAAACACATACAGTCAGGCATGATAACATGAACACGAGAAACTCGAAATCACGGACAGCTCGTACAATCTGACATTCCGCAATTGATATCTCTTAAATTTTTCATTATCGGTGAACCCAACTTAAGGATATTGTCGCACACATTTATCAATCCCTCAACATGTTTGAGTTGTCCATGCCTGACTGGAGTAAATTCAGTAATTTCAAACAAAATTTATAGTACATTCACTAAATCGTGAACATGCTGAGAGATGCTTCTATGTCATACTATTTTGAAAAATGCAAGGGGGGGGGGGGGGAGGGGGTGAGTGGCAAGTGCATATTTGTACAAATGATTACCTTGGACCCCCCCCCCCCCCCCCCACACATCTCTCTCTCACACCACACATGTGAACACACCGTGATAAATGAAGGAAATAAATATTGCTAGGGGACCTTTCCTGGCGCCACCATTTTTATCACATTACTGAATTGAAAATAAGCAGGTGAAAAGATTTTGTTATATCCCTTGATTACTGGGTCCCGACGTTAATTTTTTTTTTCACTCCCCTGAAGACATCAACTCATCTGTAGTCGACTGTATGTAAGTGAGTACATTTTAATTCTTCTATTCTGATTAACATGGAGGAGATGTGAGGAAAGGGACATGAGAGAGATGAAGCTCACTTGGAACCAGCTAGGAAGGATGGTGCAGGACAGAGATAAATGGAAGGAGTTTGCATGTGGCCTATACCCTGCCAGGGGTGAAAGGCATTGATGATGATGATTTTGATTAAGATATATTCTCCTTTGCGAATGTATTGGTCATTGGCACATGAAAATGAGAAATTGACGAATGAGCTAATATGTTATATTTATTATTATTATTATTATCAAACACATCATTAGACACTGACGGACAAGCTAATATTATAATTATTTATCATTATTATTAAACACAGCTTGCTTACCAGGGAGTACTGGAGCATGTCTTGACTCGCTGTCGTGCCCTCATGGGTCATCAAATCAAAAACAGAAAGATAACTCCGGTCATAGACACCGTCTCTATTCACTCCCTTGATGGGAATCTCATCGGCCGATCTGTACCTGGCGGGGTTCTTGAGGAAATCTGTGGCGAAGACAAGAACAAACCTCATCATCATCATCATCATCATCATCATCATCATCAAGTGCCAGATCTGTGACAGACCTCGCCAAACCTGGTTCTTATGAAATTGTCAATCCCCACAGACTAGCTCAAGAATGTAACATTTGAGAAACAAAACAGGACCATCTTCTAGCTTTTAGTTTTAGTAGACGTTTTACGGCGCTCGCAACTGCATAAGGTCATATGAGCGCCAGAAGATTAGAGGTGTTACCAGAGAGTAACAAACATAAAAAAGAAGAAGGGGAGATAAGGACAATAGATGTTTTATAGGAAAGAAGAAGCAAACCACACCAGAGCACCCACCAACCATCTACAGACCATCTTCACTGCTCTCCAACTACACAATACCAACTGAGCTAACAGTGAGCCTCAATACAATCCAACCTGTCCAAGACGACCATCCATTGTTGAGAAGAAAAGTGGTCACCTTAGACAGTTCATATTCTTGGAGAGTCGGTACAATTTTAAACAACAAACAATAAACCCAAAAAACCCAACAACCCACAAATGGGAATGTGGGAAGGGATGAGTGGGAAGTGGTCGTTTGTACAAGTGGTTGTGGTTGTCTTGGATACGTGGTCGTTGGAGTATGTTTGACTGTAGTTCTACTCACCTTTTAAATATGGCAGAGTGGCAGTCAGTACAATTCGCAAGCTGAGATGAGCCACGCCGACCTAGAAGGGAATGAAGAAAATAAATGGTTGGTGTTTGATTTGATTTGCTCTTTCTCATTGACAAAAGCCGAGTAATTGTCAAACATACAATGATCAAGTCCTGGGTTGATACAGTTAGCAGTATCGTGGCTTATTTTTCTGCACCATATACAAAAGATATATTTATTTTAGAGTCAGCAAATGTAGTCAGAATTAAATGCCTCCATGTCCACTGAGATCAAAGACCCATAAAACACTTCAAAGCTCACATAATTCAATTTATCAAGTTTAGTTTCAGTTGAACAAAAGTTTTGCAGCACTCGTAACCCAAGTAGATCCTGTAAGTGCTGAAGATGAGAGGTGTTATTAGTGAGCAATATAAAGAAAAGAAGACAGAAAGAGATGGGCAAGCATTTTCCGGCAGAGCAAGTTGATTCTGCAGGTTATACTGGAATCTCAAGCACTTTCGCGTTTGGAAGCAGGCGCTCGTCAATTTTACGGTATGAGGAGTTAGTAGTATCCTCATAAAGCCTGTTCATTTGCTCTGCTTTCGATTAAAAAAACCACCCATCTCTCTTGAAGAGAAGAGATATTTGCAATTGAAGGAGGTGGGGGTCACCTGGTTTCATAGGTAAGAATTAGCGAGGAAATGGCAGCCAAAGTTTGGTGACTTTTACAGCTTGAGAACCCTTGGAAACTAAAAATTTAGATTTTTTGCGCGTTTAATCAATGTTTTTCAAGAAAATCCACACAGAAATGTGTTTTTAAATGGATACAAAAGGTGATGAGCCAAAAAACAAAAAATTGATAAAAATTACCAAACTGGCAGAAACAGAGGGAGAGAGGGAGAGGGAGAGGGAAAGAGAGAGAGAAAGAGAGAGAGAGAGAGAGATAGAGTGAGAGGAGAGAGAGAGAGGAAGAGACAGACAGACAGACAGACAGACAGACAGACAGATAGACAGACAGACATGGACAGTCGCTCGACTCACGGAATGTAGCAGGTCCAAAAACGGACACTCGACCTTGTGATAGAGCGACCAGGCAGCATCACGGCAGCTTTCATTGCAGAACCTCACTGCGCTACACTGACAGCATCTGGGCAAAAATTATATATACAACACATTATTTTGTATAGATCTCTCTCTTGCCCTTTTTAACTCCCATTGGAGATCTAGTGTGACAATAATAATAACAATAATACTAACAATAACAATTTAATTTTTTAAATTTATAGTAGAGTGTTTTACGGCGCTCGCAACTGCATAAGGTCATATGAGCGCCAAGGGGTGGGTGTCAACAGAGAAGTCTTTACAGGGAATCAGACTTACTCTGCTCACCTCTCTAGCTTCAACAGCACAAGGTCTGCTTCGACTATCAAGGCATCCCAAAATAGCAGGTCACAAGAGAGTGACAAACATACAAAAGAAGTAGAGGAAAATGACAATAGTAAGGATCAGGAAAGAAAAAGCAGCAGTTTCCTGTCGTAGATCAGGCACAGTTACGAGCGTAACATGAGTCAGCCCATTTACAATTCTACTATGCTTGAACGAGAAATGTCCCCCCTTTGGGAATGGCCTAAAGACACTTCAGTCAGTGGCACTGCCCCGGGGGTTGAACAATAACAATAATAATAATGACTGCATACAAATTTATATAGCGCATACCCAAACTCTACAGTATGCTTTATGCGCTTCACAACTACCATTACCCTAGCAGACTCTACTCTAAGAACATTCAGAAACCTTCTCCACTTCCCTTGAAGCACACAGTGCAATCAGAGGATGATATGCGTTCAAACACTAACAATCTGACAAGATCTTCCACTGTCTTTAGCTGGGTATCCATTCCCACCTGGGTGCAGTGAAGACAGTTTTTACTAAAGTGCCTTTCTCAAGGACGCAATGCCAGGCCCCTAACTGGATTCAAACAGATGACCATATAGCTGGAGTCCGAGAGCCCAACCACTAGACCATTGAAGCCACCTTGTGATAAAATGATCAAGCAGCATCATGACAGCTTTCATACTTTTATTGCAGAACATCATTGTGCTACTTTGACAGCATCCGAGAGAAAATTATATATGTATAAACATGTGAACAGCTTCACAGCAAAACCCATTTTGTCTTGTGTGAATCGCTCAGTGATCATGTGATTGATGTAAAGCACTTAGAGCTTATACTAGTATGGGGTAGAGCGCTATATAAATACAATCTATTATTATAATTATTATTATAATATTATTTTCCAAGTTTGGCCGAAACTAGTATGAGTACCATTAAATCTGGAATGGCGAGACACATTCCAAAGTCAACTTCTTTTTTCACAAAACATGAAGTTTACCTTTTTAAAGAGCAACAGAAAGTGATGCATTTTTATTGTTGACAAAATGCAACATATCCGCCGAGTTCCAGTCAAGTTCTTTTGAGCAACATGACTTTGCCTGTGGTCGATGAAAGTTTGTTGACGGTTCTTCCCCTTCCTTTACCTTATTACTGTAATGCGAATATGTCGCATTTTGTCAAAAATGTGTGGAGATATCAATCTAAAGAAATAAGAATCCAACGTAGATTTCACCATGCAATAAATATCAACTTTGCCTTACATCATGTTTACTCTAAGAACAAAGTTGCTCATGATTATTCAGTAAATGGGCGACAACGGAAATTTTCATTTTTCTCAAAATGCATTGCATGACATAAAAATAACAGTCAAGCACAGATAACACGACACGCAAAACTAAAAAATCACAGATCGCTCATACAATTCGCCATTCCCCAACTGATATCACTTTAATTTTCAGTTATACTCGTTTACTCGAATTATGGATGTGTGTACCACATCTGTCAATATCTCTAATTTATTGTATTATTGGTTTATCAGAATTATGGATGTGTGTAACACATTCGTTAATATCTCTTTAATTTTTTGTATTATTGGTTTACCCACATTATGGACGTGTGTAACACATTTGTTAATATCTCTCTAATTTTTCGTTATACTGGTTTACCCAAATTATAGATGTGTGCAACACATTTGTCAAATCACTTTAATATTTCGCTATACTTGTTTACCCAAATTATGGATGTGTCGAACACATTTGTCAGTGTTCCTGACATGTTTGAGTTATCCAAACCCGACACGACTGAACAGCTTTCCGCAAGGAAAAAAGTAGTCTCCTATGTCTTCTTTCTGTCTTACCCCACAGGATTTGAAGGCAGCGCAGTAAAACAGTGGTGGCAGTGGCTCTCGTAGTGCTCAGGAAGTAACACGGCGGCAAAAGGACGCTCCACTATCAGGGTGGACCCCTTGGGGAAAGACTGGTTGGCCTGAGGATAGTAAAATGTATGGTTCTAGAATGTTTCTGAGTGTCATAGGGTGTGCTGGGGTAATAATATTGTGTGAAACGCATAGAGCTTTCTGTCAAATGGGGGTATGTTCTATACAAATGATATTTATTATTATTATTATTATAGAACCAGAGAGAAAAAAAGAAAGAACCCCCCCCCCCCCCAAAAAAGGAGCCGTACCTGCGGAAACGGCTACCTGTCCAAGACAATCACACTCACAAACTAACACTTCTCACTTCTCCCCTTGCGTTGTTTAAAATATTATACCGACACTGTCCAAGACATTCACCCTTCTTAGACAATCTCTTTTCTCCTTTTTTTGGTAAGTGTTTTACAATGCTCATGACTACATAAGGTCATATGAGCGTACATGACACACATTAAGCATTTTCAGTTTGATAGGAATTAATTTTTGAATTTTGCCTGAGTGACAGGCGAAGCCTACTCTTATCGATTTGAGGACCACCAAGGGATCTTCAATGTCCACAACTTATAAACGGGACCTCTGAGATTTTTTTGCCCTTATCCGAGAAGGCTAGGTGTTCGAATTTACCTACCCTAAGATCAGGGGAGTGGCTGAAAGACAGCAGTTGACTTATAGGCTTCTGGCTTCATTCTTCTCATTATTTGCAAATCTGGTTTTGAAAATTCATAATTTTTCCTTAACATCAGCAAGTCAAAGAGGAGCGATACTAAAAAACAGAGAAATACAAACTTTCCATTAAGAAAACGGAACTTCCGTACCCACACTCCCACAAAAGCTTATCAAATAGGTTTTTCACCTACTGGCTGGCACCTATGTTCCCGGATTTATGAGGAAAATTGCACCACTGTAAAAAAAGAAAGCACTTACCACGAGGAACCTGCCTTGGTCTGGGGTGATTGTGAGAGTGACCGCTGCAGTTGCCTGAGGCACGGTGCTGTTCACACCACTGAACACTTTCGGCGGCTCTTGCGACGAGGCCTTTAAAGTACTCTGATTGTTACTGAAATAGAGTGGGATGTGCCATGTTCCGAACCAAGGAAGATAACTTGGACTATAGACCTAATAATAATAATAGTTATAATAATAATGGTGATAATAATAATAATAACAATAATGTTGATAAAAATATTAATAATAAGAATAACAAAAATAAAAATAACAACAATGGTGATAATAATAATAATAATAATAATAATAATAATAATAAAAAAGATATTGTATAAAAATAATGATAATAATAAAAATAATAAAAATTATTATACATTTCATTTAAACAGTATATTTCCACTACCAAAGTGCTCAATGATCAATTAATACAATAATACAAAGAACATGAGCACCATACAAACGGGGATTTTTCTTTTTCTCATTGAAGCCGAGTCTTGTTTGATCTGACCCCGAGGTATCCAAGGTCCATGATGCAAATTCAGAGAAATTGATCTGTCCTCTTTACGTACTCTCTCTTTAAGAATTGACTCCTGTGGCACCCACACACAACAAACCCCCCCCCCCCCAAAAAAAAACAAAACAAAATTTGGCAACAAAAACACACAGATTAGAAAAAAAACCCCGACTCTTACAGGTTCTTGATATCCTTCTCCATGGATTCAATTTCTTTCAAGAAAGCATCTGAGAAGACAGAAATATGAAAATGTTTTAAAAAAAGAGGTAAAGTCATGTGTCTAATTTACCGTCAAAGAATAAAAAAAAAAAGCACTTGGTAAATTGTACTAAAAATCACTACAGAGTCAGGTCCATCGTCTAATGACAAGCTCCATATTACTCAGCAAACATTCAAGTGCACAGACATACTGTAATCCTGAACAGATAAAGCACATCTGTTTAACCTACATCTCGGGCTCTCTTTCGAAGAATGTCTTTTTTTTCCCCCCTCCTAAAACAATAATCAATAATTTTTTTGAGTGGATTTCAAAAGACAGCAAAAAAGTGAGAAAGTTTTCTATGCTTACCTCTTTTTTCTCCAGTAAGACAGAAACTTCCACCACTCACAAAGTCTTGTAACTTGAGGAAACCTACGGAAAGAACCAATAGACTGGAATTAGCCTTGCCTATGTGAGCTGTATGGAAGCTCCTTTCCATCATACACCACCCGCTATTTGACACATCTGTGAAAAAATTGTTCTCCTTCAAAGACAAGAACACTGCTCAACTGTGACACTACAACTGAAGCGCTGGAATTATGAAACACAGAAAAAAAGTTTGAGGAATGAACAAAAACAAATAAATTTTAGTAACTCAGGGCAATATTATAACAGCAAAATGGCAGGACACCAAGTCTACACTAATCTTACTGACAACTTTAGCAAAATAATAATAATAATAATAAATAATAAATTGCATTTATATAGCGCATTTCCACAAAGAAGTGCTCAATGCGCTGTAAAATAATACAAAGAACGTATGCAGCGCACAGCTCCTATAGTAATCCTCTTTCTCTCTCTCTCACTCTTGTCTCTGTCTGTTTTTGCTTGCAAAAGATACGAGCTCAAATTCAAGATGGGGAAGATATTTTACCAAGTACCTCTGTCGTTATGCTTGATGGAGTATTCTACACAACCCCACGTCGGCCCTGACAGGTTGTACTGAAGCAACTCATCTCCTGATCTAGATTATTCAAATTGCATCCGTGGTAGTCAAAAATGTTATCGTTCCATTACAATCATTTGAGGCGGCTTCTCTATTATTGTTAAAACTATCTATAGATTATACGACAATTATATTTGCTCATTCTCTCAGTTAGAATCTCTAGTTGTAAAAAAATATACCTATTTTTCAATCAATCTACCGAAGAAGCTGAAAAAAACTGCACCTGAATTGTAATTTATGGTACAAGCACCCTAACCGATGTCTATCTTTCAAAGGCTAGAAACATAACTGTTGCTGATTTATCGTCAGCCTTAAATTCTGTGGAGAACTAAAACAAAGTTGCCCATAATGCAAAAGCCAGTACAATAAGCTGGATCAATACAAAATTTTGAAGCATGACCTGCCCAGAAGTAACTTTGTGATTTTCCTTTTTTACTAGACCTTATTCCTAAGAGCATATTTCCTCTCCAGATATATGTACCGAGAATGTTTCCGAGTGTTCTTGAGTCTGCTAGGGCAATAATTGTATCGTAAAGCGCTGTTTAGTGGAGGTATGTGATATATAAATGCTACTTATCACTATTATTTATTATGCAATTTATATCTTATCCTTGAACAAGAAAGAACTGATTAACACGTCATCTCATAGCGACAAACGTACTGGACTCTGCCTTCACTTTCTGGCCCAGTCTGATCTGTGCCTGAACTCGCCTGGACAAAAGCTTGTGACGTGACTCCTTGGGAAATCCAGATGCCAAAGCCCTGGTGACGTCTGTTAAGCACTCCTGAGAATGTGAAAAAAGATATTTTTGAAGCCCTGCCCTCCACCCGACTGCCCGTTGTGTGACTGCCAGGATGAAACAGTACCACACCACCTCTTTAACTGCCCTGCACTTTGTGACCTGCGTAGCACCTACCTACCTGCCTCTCCAGACATCAGAAACACTCTATACAGCGACAAAGCACAGCTGATTAAAACCTGTCAATTCTTTGCCATATCGACAGACCGAAGGGCTAGAACCCAAATGGCCGCTGGATCGGAAAAGTAAAGTAAAGTAAAAGAAGCCCTGCCCATTGTGATTTGGTATGAAAAACATTAGGTTTAAGTAAATATGCAAAGTAACAATAGCAACAATAATACATTATTAGTTCACAACTGCACAAGGTCAAATGAGCTTTTGAAACATTATCAGTTTGGTAGAAACTCATTTTCAATTTTGCCCGCGTGGCGGCTGAAGCCTATTCTTATCGATTTTGAACCACAAAGGGATCTTTAACATGTGCAACTTGAACACGGGACCCCTGAGATTTTTCACCTTCATGCAAGAAGGCTAGATGTTGGATCTTACCTACACTAAGGTCAAAGGTGTGGCTGAAAGACAGCAGTAAGAAGGAGCTAAAGAGTAGCAGTAGAAAGGCTGCAGAAAGAGTCAGGAGCCCACAGGGGGGGGCAATTGGGGTGGGGGTGGGGGTGGGGGGGGGGCAGAAAGTGGAGACGAGAGCAGACGACAGAACATTGTTAGAAAGCAGAAAAGGAGGTGAAAGGAGACCATTTTAGAAGGTCAGGTTTTGAACCCCCGACCTATTTGAGAGGCAAACACCGTAACCTGGAGCCCATGAGAGCCTCCTTCTTCAAGTGTGATGCTATCAAGAAGAAGAAGAAATTTATAATGCATACTACCTGGTACTTCTCCATGTGAAAGAGAGCAGCCGATCTGTTGCCCAGACTGATCACATAGTCACCTCCATCCTGGACAGGAGCACTCAGGTGGCACTGTAAAAATCAAGCAAAAAAATGAGTCTAGAAGATGCAGAATACAAGCCTTTGATTCATAAACAGTGAGCATTTTACGCTCTCATTCACTTAAATGATATCGCTCACACTATGGCTCCTTCAATCCTGCCTGTCAGAGACATCCTTGGGTGAGTATAAAAGAAAAGAGAGATACTGAATAACACGTGCCCCCAACATGGGAATAAAACACCCGTCTTCCGTATAAAATGCCATCCATAGAACCTAACCAGAACTAAACAGACAATGGGATAAATCAATAGTGACATATCTGCAAAGTGGTGAACAGAACGAAAGCTTTTTAACAGGAGACAGACAAACTTGGGAAGGATAAATTACGTAACGACAGACCCCCCCAACAAGAAACAAAATAGAGAAGAAGGGACCTAACACTAACCCACATCCAAACTCTAGCCTTTACCCTAACCATTACCCTCTTTCTATTTCATAGTGGTTGCTTCATTACGAAATTCCTCCACAAAATTGATTTTAAATCCTATGTCATTTCATAGGAACTCAAGATACAAATTATGGCTGCAAAATAACTTTTAAAATGAGGAGTAAAAAATGTTTGTGAACATTTTTGTACCTCTATTTCATACTGTGAAAAAGACCTCTCTATATGGTCATTTCTCCCTTGAAAGTGTTAATGGTACAAATAGTTTAGAAATTTGACTTTTCAAGGTAACTATTTTTGGGGTATCTTTTTTCAGTAATTTATTGTGTCAAGTATCACAATTGCACAAGACATGCACTACACACAGACTTTCAATGCTGACTCCAGGTTACCTGTGTGTAGGCAGCAACTGCTTCCTGATATCTCTTACGCTGGAACAGTCTGTTTCCTTTATTCCTCCATACCTGGGCCACTTCTGTCGATTTCCCATGCCACTTTCTGCAGGAGTCAAAGTAGACTGGCAGCCACTCAACAGACCTTAAAAAGAAATGTATTTCATTGCTTGAGACTTGAATGATAAAACAGTTAATACATTTTGTGTTAAAATACTATTACACACACAGTACACAGCTCTCAACTTGGCGGGCGTGGGACCTCATCTCTTCTTTTGGCTGTTGGAAGTTCGGCGATTGTTAAGATTCCCGAGTTTAATTCCGATTGCGTTTTTCATAGCCTCAGCCTCAGGCATGTTTCGTTTTGGTCCCTAACTCGAACCCTGACCCTAACTCTAACCCGGACCCTAACCCTAATCTGAAGTAATCGCGGGAATCTTAACAATCGCGAAAGTTCAACTACCATGCACACCAATTTACCGTCAATATATTATAGGCCAGCTCTATTTCTCCGAATGTTCGGGAAAATAAATAAACTTGAACTCTATTTCTCCGAACGGTTTCTGTTCTCGAGATTAGTTGACAATAATTGCGAATGGAGTGGCCCGTATGTGTGTGTGTGTGAGTGGGTGAGAGTATGCATGTTGTGTGTGTGTGTGTGTAAGGTGTGAATGGGGCGTGGGGGCGGGAGGGATTTTTTTTTTTACATGAAGGATTTTAGTTTTTGCTGGGTGACTAAACGCAAAATAAGTTACTGCCAAGGTCAAATAGTCTGGTTTTCTTGCAGTACCTTTTGAAGATATTTTCAAATGAAGTATAGTCCCGGAACGTTGCCCCAACCACAACTGAAGTATCTGAATATTCAGACATAAAAATCTCTAGCTCTAAAAATGCTTCTGAACTTCTCAGTCCTCGCAGAATGACAGAATGAAAGATGACACCCAAATCTCGCAAATAATAAAAAAATCTCGGGAAGGGAAACCGTCCGTAGAAATAGAGTTCAAAAAGTATATTTTCCCCAACGTTCGGAGAAATAGTCACTTCGTATATTATATTGAGTTGGAATTTCTCCCCTTCATTAACCCTCGTCCTGCGGGGGCTGGATTATAAATGTTGCCCGATAAGCCTATTTCGGCACCTCGCCTGCATTTTGGTCCCACGTCAGTCTGGCCCCTGGCTCAGCCCATGCGCGCCGAGCATCATCTCCCATTCAATTCAGGTCCAGCGTCGGATCCCCATTCACCTAGCTCAAGTGTGTGTGCGTCAGTCTGCTTGAGTTTGTGTGCATTTGTGGCCTTCTTCCAGAACTGCCTGTGTTGGTTCGTAACCGAGGCATATACGTCTCATTCAAAACACGCCAAGTTGGTAGCTTTAGATGTTCGTCCAATGACATTATAGAACAAATTGACCCACTTAGACATGAGGAGCTCGAAAGGATAGTCAGGAAACAAGACTTCCATTTTTCTATACAAAATCTTTCAAATGAGCTTGATTTTGTACGAAATGATACTACCTGATAAAAAATAAGCTTGTTTGATCATTTTGAATACCATTTTGTGCAGGTACAAAGAACAATTTGAGTGCAAAACATTCGGAAATTGACCTATATTATCCCCTTTCGAACCCCAGGTCATTCATCAAGAAAGAGCATCTAGATATCTAGATCTAGAAAGGTTTTTCGAATGGGCGTAACTACTCATAATGTCTTATCAGCTTGTGAGAGGGGGTTATTCATGTGTTTGTTACACTTTATAACAGCTATGAAAGATAGAGCGTTATTTTCATCATCCGATTAACACACTGATTGATAAGATTCGCATCTCAGCACAGACGCAGAACAAGAGTTTACTGTTTTAACCATGCGGTTGGCACTAATGACAGTCTAACAGAAATGCATTATCACAGTTACAATATCTACAGTGACAACTTATCTCCGATGATTCTTTAGATACAATCTCACCGAAGTTTACCCAACTTTCAACTTGTAGTTGTTGTTGTAGGAGGCCAACCGCCAAGTTTCACACTGACTGAGTCAGTGAGTGACACTGTCACTGTGCTGTCATTTCTGCTTTCAATGATAGACACGTTTATTTGACAATGACGTACACTCACCGAAGAGTTTTATTATTGAGAAGGTATAGAACACGGTCATCATTTGAACTGAGGGAAGCAAACAATTTGAATTGATCTGTAGGTTCTATGCTTTGTAAAATTTTGTCGATTGCAAGTTGCCAGTTGCCAAACCCAATGGGGGCTGCCATATTGGTGGTATGGTCAAGGGTCAACTACTCTCATCTTTCAGTTTCAATAACAAAATTATATTTGTGAATAGCTTCCCTTGGTCTATTCTAATTTTTGTAAACAACGAACGTATGTTTCTATAAATAGATATTCCGCGAAGCACTAGGGTCATGCAGCGAAGCAATCTAGCAGTGTATAAAGCACTTCACTCCTTCGATTTTATTTCAACTTGAATTACAACCAAAAGACGTAAGCGACAAGACCAAGTGCTATACATACAATTTAAATCGCTCTACCCTGACTGCTGTGCATATCTCATCAACTATTTTTGTAAGTATTACTTAGTTCAAAGAAACATAGTAAAATAATGCTTTAGCTTTTACATAGACTAAGTAAACTTTGTAATAATATTTTTAGCCTCGGAAGGTTGAAGGAGCAGTGAATTTAATATTATGAGCGTTATTAATAAGGCTTACAATTAAAAAAGAAAACCCAATAAAACAACACACGCACATAAACGTACATTGCTGAACAATCACTGAGTGAACAGATTTTTTTTCAATTCCCTAATTTTTCTTACATTACTTTTTTGTGTATTCTTTGTATGTAAAACACCAATACCCACTTGGAGAAATTAGTACAAGACGAAAAGATTACCGTGTCTCGCCGACTTCGCTTTCATTATGTTGTGCGTGCATCACAGAATTGTGTAGAATTCTGTGGCGTGCATATGCCAGACTGTGCTGGTCCACGGCCAAACTTTTTGGACATTTGAACATGTTGTAGCAGGCTTGCAGATTCCTAAATCTCAACAATCACTCGAGGCTCGTCAATATGTAGTTTAATTTGAGCTTTTCCGCAAATCTGTACGTCTTAAAAGAAAAGTTATAATTTTAAAACATTAATACCCGTAGGCCTATGCATCTTTTTCCTTTCAGAGAATGTTTTATAATTAGACCCAAAATGGACATTTTTAGTTGCTGTGTGCCTCTTTAACACAGTTGAATATTTTTGATTCATGATATCTGAGCACGGTTTTCTTGGTTTAAATTTCATTGCACCAATTAGGGGGTATGAAAGGTTTGAAATATTATCGCTATATCTCGAAAGACTCAAATCAATGCTAGGTTTAATTTAAAAAACACATTTCATAACAAACATTTTAAAGGGATGTGTATTCTATTTTGTTTTTAACTTCTTTCGCCCTCAGAACCGTAGATCTCACAAAGGGCTAAACAATCAACGCAGACATGGCAATGCCCCCAGGTGGACCGATGGAAGTGGTTTTCTCTTTTGACACCACTGGCTCTATGTCGCAAGTGCTGGATGAAGTCAAAGGTCGGGTGAATGATATTGTTCAACGTCTCCAGGCAGATATTCCTGGGTTCAAGGTGGGCATCATTGCCCACGGAGACTACTGCGATGCTGATCATTTTTATGACATTCGCATTCTGGACTTGACAGACAATGTTGTGGGTGAGTGCACAGTCTTTCATCTCATTGATTTATGTTGTAGTTGTAGTATAGTAGAAGATGTTGAGGCCATTATAGTTTTTGATGATGTGTCATTGATCTCGACCTGGACAATTTTCAGTTCTGCTTGTTTGTAAAGTATCAAAGGCCCCTATCCAAATATCGAAAGCTGGTACGTGTTGTATGTTATGCTCCATTTTCAAAACAAAGTTAGACTCAAAATGCTCAGGAATCATTTGTCAAATGTGTTAAGAAGCTCATACATTAATTTATCTTTAAATAAAAATACAACATGTTATGTAGTTTGAATACATCTATTATTATTATTTTACCTCAGATGTCGTGACATTTGTCACAAACACGGAAGGTACAGGCGGGGGAGATATCCCAGAGTGCTATGAGCTCGCTCTTCGTCGTGCCCGTGAAATGTCTTGGACTCCAGGAAGCAAGAGATTAGTTGTCGTTATTGGTGATGCCTACCCGCATGGACCGGACTATGAAATGAACAAAGACAATATTGACTGGACAGACGAGCTGAAAATGCTGGTGGCAAAGGTGTGTTATAATGTTATATTTCTTTTTATTCATCTTTAAGAATTAATTTATTTCTTGTCCTTACGTTAAAAAGGGAAAAATAGCAAATTTATCACACCATGTGTCACATATTAGTGATCGGTTTGAAAATTTTAGAATAACGTGTGGGTCAGGCTTAAAAAATAAAAGTCAGAGGTAGAGTTCTTGAATATTGCCTTAGATTATTGTTTTGTTTTGCTTTGTTTCTCCTTTCTGGAACAATTGTATCCTAGTATCCTTGTAAAATCTGTCTGGAACGAATTTTTGTTTGTCTTGAGTTACATCTTGAAGTGAAGGCAATCTCTCATTTTCGCACAAATCCAGAGCAACAACTAAAAAGCAAAAAAGCATGACTTGTAGTTCTGGTTTCCCATTCAGTACTTTAATTGCTACAATTTGTTCTTTTTTCCTATAGGATGTGAAGATATACGGTGTGCAAGTTCAAGAAGATCCAGATTCCACGTCATTCTTTGAAAGACTCACAGGGGAATCGGGAGGTCAGCATCTGAAACTAGCCAACATGGGGACCATATGTCAGGCCATCATGGGCATCTGCTACAGAGAGCAGGGAGCAGAAATGTTTCAGGTTTGTCTTATTTGTCAGTTTTAGTCTTTTAACATTCACATATTTTAGAACTGTGGAGAACCATTGACCTGACATATAGCTTATCTTCTTGGGTTCTGTTACATATATTTTAATGGTGACGGTACTGGACAGGACAGGGTAAAAACCTCCACATCTTTAATTACTTCTTTTATTTTTGAATAGGAATAGAATTAAACAGCCTTTTAAAAAAATAATATCTTTTGTGTCCGGTTAAATCTTCATTTGCACGTCATGGTGTTGACTGTATTATGTTCCAATGCTATTTATAAGTGAGAAAATTGATCTGCAGAATTTCATTCACAACCGGTTTACTTTCGACATTGTTGATTCATCTCTTGCTCTTTGCTTGTCACGAACATACAAAACAATGTGCCTTTGTTCTTTCACAGAATTATGAGGCTGAGCTCAGGGCTAAGCAGGGAACAAAAATTGGAGCTGATTTGGAGAATGTCCTTGGCACACTTCGTCATGATGATTCCGTTCAGAGTTTGATACAGGGAAATGGCAACCCACCGGATGAAGAATTGTCGGACCATGTTTCAGATGATGATGATGATGATGATGACGATGAAAATGATAGCGGGATTTGTGACGTTGCGTCCACATCTACTGTGGGGAACGAACCAACAACTTCAACGAAGAGGAAACTGCATTTTACTTCTCCAAAAGAACCCAAGAAGTCGAACAAAGTATGTCCTGTGGGGCCAATCGATGTGAAACAGATTACCAAAGGAGGGAAGCGCAAAGGGGCTAAAGCTTCAAACAAGAAACAGATGCTCGTAAATGTAAGTATTATATATTTGAATCTATGCATATAATATAACAGTCCTGTGCCTAAAAACAATTTATACCAGGTATTATAGTATTCTCTTGATTGGTACACATTCATTATTTAAAAAAACAGCTTAAATTGAGAAATCGAAGCATCTCTCCATTGGCTGATTACTAGAACAGAAAGGGCTGTTGGTCTCAGTTCACTTTCTCTTCTTGTTCTGACATTGTTTTCACTAACAGTATCTAGAAATTGTGCTAGCAGTTGAGATTCATGTCATTATATTATAACATTTGGTGTTTTTGATAAAAGCAAAATGTGTAATTCTTTTGACTTCTGGCTGGAATGGAGAAGGAAAGATAATATGTAAGGGTCAAGATTAGTTTGCATGGTCGTCATAGAGACAAAATGGTAGGGAGTAACCAATTCTTCTTTATCCAAGTAATACATTGTTTGTGAAAATGGCTACAAATTATTAGTTGCATTTGAAATTAGTTATATTTCTCTACGATTAAATAAGTTGCAGCAAAACATAATTTTGTTTTTTCTTTTCTGTTTCTGTAATGCAGAAAACGTCAACTGAGCGAAAAGATGTTCTCGCTAAGAGAGGGAAGAGAACGGTATCAGCACGACAAAAGTCATCTTTGCGCGCCAAGAGGGAATGGGTTTCTGCTCAAAGATTCGGCTACAAGAATCTCTCGTGGTCACAGTGGCAGCAAGCAGTGGTCCCTGCAGTGGGTGATTTGACTGGACAATGGAGACAGATCCCCCAAAGCGGCTCCTCATCCTACTGGAGATCAGACCTGTTGAGACTTTGCAAATCGAAACTGGACAAACTACCAGGCAGCTCCACGCTTTTTGAAGTGGGTGTTCAGTTTCATGGAAGAAGGGGTATTCAAGTTGTGCATCTGAAGTCCACGAAAATCATCCACAATCGACCAGGAGGGGTGTTTGGATTACCCTGGTATTCTGGAATGTTCCGCAGTATTCGGGAACAACTCAACAAAACTCTTGGAGAAGAGGAAACCTTCTCTGGGAAACAGAATCCTGTCAGAGTGTTTGTGCGGTGGGCCTTTGTGGATGATGACGTCAGTGCGGTGAAGAGGAACATTCTCAAGGAATATGATTATGCTTGGAACTGTGGCCGCTCTGTGTGAGGCTTACGTATTCATTATATGAGTATAAACTTTCATGTGCTGTTGAGTTGTGTTTAAATCTCTGAAATATTATGAGTGACATGTAAAATCAGTTATACATGCATTATAATTTAATATCAGAGGTTATGACCTAAAACAGTTTCCTGTGTTGAATGGCGTGCTGAACATTTACAATAAACAACAAATGCCAACTCAAATCAGGAACTCATTTGGATTGAAAACATCCAGGACTTCATAGTTAGCCATGAAAAATGGTGTTGCAAAATAAGCTACACGATTGGTTAAGGAGTTCTAAGCTGGCTTCCGGAGTTCCAGCTATTGTATTCTTTGGGATCAACCCCTCTTTCAAAGCTGTTGTTTTTTAAGCAGCAGACCCTCAGCATTTTTTCAAATTGAATTCCGTCGCTGATAGGACCAGGCTAAATGGATGGAAGCCTTACACATTCCAAGATCAAGTTGATTACTTTTGATATTTTTGAATTTTCTGACTCCTGTTAAATCTTCTGTTAGTTTTAAATTCAAAGCATTGTATATGCGATGTTGCATGGTGCTTGCATTTTATTTGTATAATTATAGTGTCATTTCAATTCGGTGCTTTTTAATAGAAAACCTAAATAGTTTCTTTTTTGCTTTAGACAGACCGTACAGTATAATTCTTACACACACACACACACACACATACACACACACACACACACACACACACACACACACACACACATACACACACACACAGACACACACACACTCACACACACACACACACACAGACACAGACACACACACACACACAGACAGACACACACACACCCACATGCATACTCAACGAGAGAGTGAGAGAGACAGAGAGAGTGAGAGAGAGACAGAGACAGAGAGAGAGAGATTGGGTAATGGGAGAAGGGGTTTGAGGGGGGGGAACGTGTACGTGAGAGAAAAAGTGACAGAGAGACAGACACACAGACACACAGACACACAGACACACAGACACATAGATAGACACACAGACAGACAGACAGACAAACAGACAGACAGACAGACAGACAAACAGACACACACACAGACAGGGGGCTCTCGTGGCCTAGAGGTTAAGGTGTTGGCCTCTTATTCAAAGGTCCCGTGTTCGAATCCGGGTAGCGACCGAAAAATTTTCTTCTCTAAATTTGTCTCCTTTCACATCCTTTCCTG